TTTGTCTCTATTTCTAGCAGTCAGCGTGACGAAGGACACATAATCAGTGGTAAGACTGATAGTGTAAATGTAGTATATATTACAACAAAACAAAACACCGCCACAGCAGTGACGAAGTGCTCCCTGGTCTTGATATTAACACCTGAGAGAGAGTTCTGTGGGGCTTTATGCCTTAACCGGTGACAATATCCTTGACTTCCCTGAACCTTGGATTCTTCACTTGTACAGTGTGGATAACAGCAGTATTTAATTCAGGCAGTTTTGAGGACTGCATGAAGTAATCGATATGAGACTTAGCCAGAAGCTGGCATGTTTGTAAGTACCCAATAAATGGTTTCTATCATCTTATGTACTGTAAACACAGCACCATGTTTCCTAAAGGCGCTAATAGATCTGTCTTGCAGGTAGAGGCATATGTTGTTAAGCACCCAGTCCTCCAGACTGGGGTTTGCCCCTGGTAAACCCCATTTCTGGTTTGATGGGTTTAATTTTACGAAGTCTTAAATCCTCCTTGGTAGCAAAGTAGGTGTCTGGGAAAGCCCACTGGGATGACTCCCGGGTGGTGAGGGGCAAGGGTGCTCTGGAGGCCTGCATGCACGACAGCAACTATCAGTGATGTCAGTTTAGAAGTATCTGAGGCATTCGGAGAACAGCACACGATAGCTTCACAGCACTTCATCTTGCAGCCGAGGTGGAGCAGGTGAAGATGGGGCGGGCCAAGGATCACCTGGCTAATTTCTGACATCCAGAGATAACCCTGAAAGCCATGTTTACTTCCCAGTAGTGCTGGATGTGGGATGGATTCTGAGATATTCCTGAGACATGTAGAGTTTCTGGGGGAATTTGTACCATCTGTCCGAGAAAGGCATGCGGGGTATGTATTTGAACACATGAAACCAAGGCCACTGCCAAGTCAAGGACTGGGTGCTCTTTGACTCACACCTAAATTCTAGTAATGTTACTTTACAAAATTTTGAGGAGCAAGAACGGAGCCTTTATTTTAATAACATTTTAAATAATCGCCTTTTCCATATGAGTTATTGTTATTTTAAAATGTTTCCTTCTTTTTACACTATCTTTGGAAACATTTTTAGAGAGAGGTGTTTGTGTGTGTGTGTGTGTGTGTGTGTGTGTGTGTGTGTGTGTGTGTGTGTTTAACCTAAAATTTCCTGCTAAGTTTAGCAGATAACTGTCCTTGATTCTTTGAGTGTCTTGCTGTTTTGTAGACCCTTGCTGGGTAGGAAAGCTTGTCTGTCATGTTTCTCATTTTCATTTTACATGTAAATTCTACACCTTCAACCTTTATGGCTTTTCTGAGAATTTGCTGCCTTTTTTTTTGTTTTGTTGTTGTTAATCCTTACCTGATGATGTTTTCCCATTGATTGTTAGAGAAAGTAGAAGGGAGAGAGACAGAGAAACATCGATGTGAGAGAGATACATGGATTGGTTGCCTCCTGCACGCACTCAGACCAGGGCCAGGAAACCTGCAACCAAGTACATGCCCTTGACAGGAACGGAACCTGGGACCCTTCAGTTTGCAGGCTGACACTCTATCCACGGAGCCTCACTGGCTAGGGCTTTGAGAGTTGTCATTTTGAAAATAGCCATCCATCTTCAGGATCTATCTCTGAGACAAGTACAGACATTCCAATGAAAATAACTACGGAGATCCACCTACAGTAATCTTATCAACAATAGCCTGTTTCCATCAGTGATGCTGCTCCTGTGGACCCCAAAGACAGGTATTCTGTGGGGGTGGTAAGAATGTTTATGTTCCAGCTCATTCTCCTTCTGGCATTTTTGTTACTGAGCACATCCAGCTTATGAAGTATGTGGTCCTCCCCTTGAGAAAGCATGCCTAGCCCTCCCCCTCCCCCCCCCCAGCCCCCCATCAAAGCGAGGCTGTCCTTACCCTCTTCTCAAAGAAGCTGAGGTCGAGGGAGGCCAGGAAGTAGTTGATGAAACACAGGCGCTGTCCCTGAGTTCCTAAAGGTTTGCCTCACCTCGGGACCATGCTCCTTTGCCTCTGTCTGAACACAAGTCAGAGCGGGAAGTTTCAGGTACCAGTAATGTGTGAGAGGAAAGGAAGATGCTTTGAGGTTTGGATCGCTCAGCTCAGGGCCATGACTTCCTCTGGCCACTCTTGGAAAGGCGGACCTTCCTCACTCAGGGGATAGGGGCTTTTACTGTGCTGTGCGGATCCCCACAAACAATTCATAGCCTCGCGGGTGCCAGAGCGCTGTAGCTTCCCAGAGGCCACCACTGAGACCACCAAACGTGCCTGAGTGGCCGTACGGGATGGAGTGACAGCCCAGAGTAACTGCAAATGGTCAGGAGGGGTCTTTTTTTTAGAATTGGTGGAAATGTTCTCAAATTGGATAATGGTGATGGCTGCACAACTCTGTAAACATACGAAAAATCACTGGATTGTACTCTTCCAACGTGTGAGTTTTATGACATGTACATTATACCTCAATAAAGTGGATAATAAAAATGCCTGAAATTTGGGCTGTCTTGAAAGGAACCATGTTTCAGAGCCAGTACACCTGTCTGAAAGTGTGTGACAGAGTGGGTGGGGGAGGCGTCTGAGGCAGGCGCTGGAGGAAATGGGACCAGCAGAATCTTACTCATGAGCCAGGGAGGAGGCCTGGGATCAAAATGGGAATAAAATGGCACCGTTTTTGCCCTGACCGGTTTGGCTCAGTGGATGGAGCGTCGGCCTGTGGAGGGTCCCAGGTTCGATTCCAGTCAAGGGCATGTGCCTTGGTTGCAGGCACATCCCTAGTGGGGGGTGTGCAGGAGGCAGCTGATTGATGTTTCTAACTCTCTATCCTTCTCTCTTCCTCTCTGTAAAAAATAAATAAAAATATATTTTAAAAAAATGGCACCGTTTTTGTGGTGATGACAACTCAAATTAGGTTCCAGAAGGTAAGTACATTGCTCTCTGCGAAAGCTCACTTTCTGAATAGCTCTAAATCTTTCATTTGGTGAACAACAGCAACACTTTATAGCCAGAAATCTTACCTTGAAGTCGTTATCAGCCCAAATAAGAGTGTCTTGTCAATGATTCATCAGGTGTACTATACAGATTTGTATAAATAGATTACCAAATGTTTCCGAACGGCATCAATATAACTAATGTAGCTTAACTGCCATTTTCTTCTTGCTTGTCATTATTTAGTAGGATGTAGATAATAGTTAATGTGACAGGTTTTAAAAAATTTTTCAACGTACTTTTTTTACGGTGTTTTCCGAATTCCGGAACGAAGGTGACTAAGCTTTCTTAAGTTTGCTTGACTCAAGAAATCGGTTGGCTTTGCTTACATATATTGTGTGAAACTTCAGATAAAGTTGCAGGACTCCCTCTGTTACTGGAGCGCAGGAAACAATTGACACTGTTACTTAATTCACATTGTTTCTGAGACATTTCCTACTTTCCCATGAGAACACTTTGCTTGCAGATGGTGAGACATGATACATTTCTCCTTGGTACCGGTTCTGTGAGGAGAATTTCATGGTGCTTTGTAGTAGTTGAGTTAGTATGTGTGTCTGTGTGTGTGTGTTGCTGGGGGCAGGTTCATGCTTCATACATGTAGATGCCTCCAACTTCATTCCACGTAGCAAATGTTTTCCTTTGAATGCTAGCCCATTCACTCCGGGTTCTACATTCCTTAGTTGGAACCTCTTTCTTGAAGGAGCATATAATTGTTTTAATCCTCCCAGTTTAAGGAAACACCCCTGTGAATTATGGTGTTTCAAGATATGCCGAATGAGTTACTGGGGAAAGTGGTTCACAGCAGTTTAAGTCAGCCCTACTGCATGTTCAGGTATTACATACATGTAGGTGTGTGTGATGTTGTCTGGGGCATGGCACAGTGGTCGTCAAGGAATGATTCCAGAATGGGAGAGCAAATCCATACATGAAATACTCTAATTAGAAGTTTAAAAAAACAGAGTTTTTGCATTACTTCCAAAAATAGTGGTTCCCGCATCCAGGAGTTATGTGGGATATAAAGTGAAAGTAAAAGTTTCCCAATTTAAAAAAAAAAAAGACGTGGAACGTTGAGTTCCCTTTCTTCTGTCTTATCAGATTTTGTTAAAATGATACCGCTTGTCAGTTTTGCAGCTCCATCCATCCAGGGAGCTGAAAGCGCTTCACAATCTTTTCTCCTCATGCCCTTCTCTTCAAGGCAGTTTTGGCTGGGCTGGGTTTATTTTTATCATTGCAACAGCCAGTTTTTAGAAACTTTTGGAAATGAAAAAAGAAAAATGAGAATGGCACTGTAGCTGACATTCATTTCAGCTGCTGCCTCGTGTGAACATTTGAGTATTTCTAAAATCTTCTCTCCAAGCATGTTGTATGTCTTATTTTTTTCTCAGTTTATCCCAGTTCTAAGTCTCTATTCTGCTGATTGGGTAAAAAAAAAATAATAATAAAAAAAGTTTTAGTGTAAAACCTTATCCCAGCAGAATGACTTCTTGAACTCTGCGTTAGATCTTTATTTTTTGTAGCCGCAAGAGCTCCATTTCAGCATCCTGTTGGGTATAATCACAGACTCAGGGGAGGTTAGCACTGGAAGGGCCTCTGGGGTTGCCCAAGGTAAGCCTGTCATTATACAAATGATGAGCTTGAGGCCCAGAATGGTTAAGGGACACAGTCAGGTCGTAGAGGTCATTGATGGCAGAGGTCTGCCTCGAATCAAGGATTTCCAGTGTGGGATTCCTTTGGCTCTCCTACATAAAAACTCACCTATCCAGATAGAAACTAGAGGATACCCTCACGGAATCTGAGGGCCCACCAGCAGGTTGAACGACGCTCTGCTAACTGAAAATTGGAAGGAGATTTCATTTTTCTAACTTGAACTTATTTGTCAAATATAGAATAGTAATGTTGCATTCATAGACTTTTTTTTTTGGAGGGGGGGGATCTGTGGATTTTGTGCAGTTGATATGCAGCACAGAATGTGGTTTCAAATGGTGATTTGTGTACCTTCCTTTAGGCCACCACACCATCTACATTGGGGTCCATGTGCCGAAGAGCTACAGGAGAAGGAGACGTCACAAGAGAAAGACGGGGCACAAAGAAAAGAAGGAAAAGGAAAGAGTCTCTGAGAACTACTCAGACAAGTCTGACGTGGAAAACGCCGATGAGTCCGGCAGTAGCATCCTCAAGCCGCTCAGTGAGTACTCTGTGGGGTGGCCGCCTCTCTGCCTCACTCCTGAGGCCTGGGAAAGGCACTTTTTAGGATCTTGTGGCTAATGCGAGGGGTGCAATCATAAGGAGATGGCCTCCTCTAACGGGCCATGTCTGTGGAGATGCTTTTCTTGTCCTAGCAGTTTGTTCTAGGAGGCGATCTGAGTTGGTTGGAGAATATTTGACTAAGGTTAGGCATGGTTGTGTATCTTACATTTTGACTAATGAAATAGGGCACAGTATTAAAGATGGCATTTGACTACAGTAATCAACAGGAACTGAAAGGTTCTTAAAGAAATTTTTTGATTGTTTCTGCTTAGAAATAGGTTCCATTGAGACAGTAGGTCAAGATGGAAATTATATACTTATAATATATATATATATATATATATATAATATATATATAATATATATATTATATATATATATGTTATATGTTACTTATAGGGTTCTAAGTGACATTTAACCAGGTCATGGGTTGGGCTGGTAATTTAAAAAGGAACAGTGGAAAAGCATCCTGTAAGTCATAGAAGAATGTAGAGTGGAGTGGCATAGCTCTTGAAATGTCGAACATATTAGATATCGTACTTTGGATAGAAGTGTTACTAAGAACAGAATAACAGGAGGTCAAAGAATACCCTTGGATTCAAGTCATGGGAAGACTGTGTGTTTAGGCGCATGTGTATGTTGCTTTTGTTTCTTTAGATGTGGGGAATACTTGGCTCTCTGGGGAGCTGTGTCTGAAGCGAGAATGAGTATGTGCAGTAGAAGCGAGAAGCAGTAGAAACACATGCCAATTTGGGGAGATTCCCCAACAGGAGTTCCGTAGTGACAGCTTTTCACATTGGCAGAGCTCGGTTCATTCTTCATCTCTTTGCTACAGTGGCAGAAATATGGAACCTGCAATAAAATGCATTAGGGTGGCATGGATGCAGATCCAGTTCTGTCACTGCAGGTGACGAGAAGCCAAATTGGAATGAACAGCTGAGGAGTGTTGAAAAGTGAGTTTATGGAGTTAAATTGAAGAGGGTGTGAAGTGCAGTGATGTGAATCTGTGAATTTGTTAGAGTCTCGCTATTGGAACTGAGCAGGTGGCTTGAAGCTATAGAGGCACCTGCTGAGAGGAGCAGTGCAGGTGGACTTCCTAAGCAAAGACAGATGTCCTGAGGAGAGTTTGGAGATGGACCACCACGTTACAACTTAACGTGCTGGAATAAATGTGAGACTTAGGCGGGACCAGAGGGCAGGAGACAAGAGTTATGCACTTTTCATTGGAATATTGGGAATCTGAATGGAATCCTTCATATATTGACTAAAAACAACTAAAAACGAAAAAACATGGGGACTGTTTCAAGTAAAGTCCTTGAAATGCTGATAAAAAAGGTCACAGTTAATAGTGTGGAGGAACAAAAGATAACATCTCTTTCCAAATAAATTACTGCTGTCTATCTGGATTTGCTATCTGTTTCGGCAAGGCCTGAGCCTGAATCACAGATACTCTCCCCAGTGTGTGTGTGTGTGTGTGTGTGTGTGTGTGTGTGTGTGTGTGTGATCTCTCTTTCTGTCTCTCTCCAAGTCATTTCCCATTCTGCAATTTAAGAACAAGAGTACATCACCCTATACATAATAAAAAGGGAGAGATCCTCTCTTAGGCAAATGGGCCAAGGAATTTCGAGATGATAATTATGTACCAGCTTTGTAAAGGAAAGGCAGTGGAACAATACCAGTAATACTCAAGTCAGTAATAGGGGATGAACTGATCAGAAAGGTAGTGAGTATCAGTATGTGTCTACCATGGACGTACTGTTGCTTTCTGTGGCATCTGGGGACTAGTTTTGAGTACAGCATGTACGATAAGCAAGGTGTTCATTCTCGTTAGCCTCAGGTCTCCTTTCTGGGGAGTATTACATTATGTTGTATGCCTGGTTTCTGAAGGGATCATATGGAGAGACCATTGCTAAGGACTGAATTGTTCAGAGATCATCATAAAATTATTTATAAATTTGCATTTTACAGTTAGTTATTTTCCTGCTAGTTTATAAGTTATGCACCATTCAATTCGGCATGAAGGTTCTCTTAGAAAGCATCGTATATTCCAGTGGTTCTCAACCTTCTGGCCCTTTAAATACAGTTCCTCATGTTGTGACCCAACCATAAAGTTATTTTCGTTGCTACTTCATAACTGTAATGTTGCTACTGTTATGAATCGTAATGTAAATATCTGATATGCAGGATGGTCTTAGGTAACCCCTGTGAAAGGGTCGTTCCACTGCCAAAGGGGTCGTGACCCACAGGTTGAGAACCGCTGCTATATTCTCTCAACTGCTTATTGTGGAGACTAGATGGACTGGTAGCTGGTTAATCTGGTGCAGTTCTATTTAAGATGTTACACTCATGCCCTGACCAGTTTGGCTTAGCAGATAGAGCGTCGGCCTGCGGACTCAAGGGTCCCAGGTTCGATTCCGGTCAAGGGCATGTACCTTGGTTGTGGGGACATCCCCAGTAGGGAGTGTACAGGAGGCAGCTGATCGATGTTTCTCTCTCATCGATGTTTCTAACTCTCTATCCCTCTCCCTTCCTCTCTGTAAAAAATCAATAAAATACATTTTTTTAAAAAAAGATGTTACACTCATGTATTGAACGACATTTAACCCTATGATTTGGGGAAGTGAAAGGGCACTGGCACCAATAGGACAATAACATTCTTTTATGGGAAAACTCATTTACTGCAATATCTGCCTAGCGGTATGCCATTATTGGTTCTCAAGAACAGCCACACACAGTGTCTGTTATTGTTAGGTCTAGGCTTTTGGAGATACTTATGTCAATAATGTACCACAGCCCATAGACAAGATTCTTTTATCGACCCCATTTAATATTTTTTTATTATTTATTGTCTAAAGTTTTACATATGTCTCCTTTTTCCCTGATTGACACCCCCACACCCCAGCCATTCCCACCCCGGGCAAGCCCCCACCACCCCAGTGTCTGTGTCCATTGGTTATGCTACTATGCATGCATACAAGTCCTTTGGTTGCTCTGTACCCCCCCCCCCCACCTCACCTACCATTTGTCTCTGGATCTATTTTTGTTCATCAAATCATGTTGATCATTATATCCCACACATGAGTGAGATCATGTGATATTTATCTTTCTCCAGCTGGCTTATTTTGCTTAGCATAATGCTCTCCAGTTCCACCATGCTGTTGTGAATGGTAAAAGTTCCTCCTTTTAAAAATTTTTTTATTTTTTACAGAGGAAGGGAGAGGGATAGAGAGTTAGAAACATCGATGAGAGAGAAATATCGATCAGCTGCTTCCTGCATACCCTCTACTGGGGATGTGCCTGCAACCAAGATACATGCCCTTGACCGGAATTGAACCTGGGACCCTTCAGTCCACAGGCCGATGCTCTATCCACTGAGCCAAACCAGTTAGGGCAAATTCCTTTTTTATAGCAGCATAGTATTCCATTGTGTAGATGTACCACAGTTTTTTTTATTTATTTATTTATTTATTTATTTATTTATTTATTTATTTTTTATTGCTTAAAGTATTACAAAGGGTATTACATATGTGTCCATTTTATCCCCCCGCCCTAGACAGTCCCCTAGCCTCCCCTATCCCCCAATGTCTTATGTCCACTGGTTATGCTTCTATGCATGCATACAAGTCCTTTAGTTGATCTCTTACCCCCCTACCTCCTGCCCCGCAACCCATCCCGGCCTTCCTGCTGCAGTTTGACAATCTGTTTGAGGCAGCTCTGCCTCTGTATCTATTATTGTTCAAAAGTTTATAATGATCTCTATTATCCATGAATGAGTGAGATCATGTGGTATTTTTCCTTCATTGACTGGCTTATTTCACTTAGCATAATGCTCTCCAGTTCTATCCATGACGTTGCAAATGGTAAGAGTTCCTTCCTTTTTAGAGCAGCATAGTATTCCATCGTGTAGATGTACCACAGTTTTCTAATCCATTCATCTACTGATGGGCACTTAGGCTGTTTCCAGATCTTAGCTATGGTGAATTGTGCTGCTATGAACATAGGGGTGCATATATCCTTTCTGATTGGTGTTTCTGGTTTCTTGGGATATATTCCTAGAAGTGGGATCACAGGGTCAAATGGGAGTTCCATTTTCAGTTTTTTAAGGAAACTCCATACTGTCTTCCATAGTGGCTGCACCAGTCTGCATTCCCACCAGCAGTGCACAAGTGTTCCTTTTTCTCCACATCCTCTCCAGCACTTGTCGTTTGTTGATTTGTTGATGACAGCCAGTTTTTAATCCACTCATCTGCTGATGGGCACTTAGGCTGTTTCCAAATCTTAGCTATGGTAAATTGTGCTGCTATGAACATAGACAAGATTCTTGCATGGGCCTGACACTGTGTCAGGCGAGGCTTCTATTATTGTAAGTATGCCACATGTAAGTAAGTAACTCGATGAGAATCATCTCTGATTCTTTCCTTGATGTCACCCACATATACAATCCAGCAATGACTGTTGTTGGCTCTACTTCTAAAATATGCCTGGATCTGTCTACCCCTGAACAGTGTGGCTGCCACATTTGGGGCCAGGGAATTGTCATCTCTTAGGTAAACAACTATAACAGGCTCCACTGTTCAAGTCTTCTTCCACCCAGAGGCAACAGGGATCACCGTAAAGTGTGAATCGAGCCATGCCATTCCTGCGCTGAAACCTCCTGTTGTCCTTAGAAGAAAATCTCGATTGGGCAGCACGGCCTATGGTGTCTCACCACGTGTGCTCCATGTCATTCTCTCCGTGCTCTCTGTTCTTCAGCCACACTCAATTTTCAGCTTCTTGGTGTCCAAACCTTTTCTGCTTCAGGGTCTGTGCACATGTAATCCTGTCTGTTTGGAATAGTCATCCCATTTCTGTCCTGGTTAGCTTTTCTCCTGCTTTATATTCCAGCTTGAAAATTTTGTGTCATCTGGGAGGCCTTTCCTTCCTACTCTACAGGGTCGG